TTTTATTTCTCTTCTGCAATATCCTGTTCTTCCTTATGAGGGTCTTCTGGCTTTGGTCACTTTTGAGGTTGGAGTGTAGGCTACAATCTGTACTTTTTGCAGGTTTGAGGTTTAATTGAGAGGGAAGCTGTAGTTCAGAATGTATATGCTGACTCTAGCATCCACGAACACGTGTATGAGCTCACTGGAACCTATTTCCCTCTGCCTTACAATCTTTCCATTCAGCAGTATGTAGTCTTGGTCCCTAGATTAAAACGGGGGGTATAAAAGGAAAATAATGGAGGGGGGGTTAATAGGAAGTTAGAAAGAGAGAAGAGAGAGAGGGAAAACAGACATAATACCAACTATCAGGTGAGAAACAGACACAAGGCTGGGAAGAAGTGAAAAAAGATACGTAAGAAAGATTCCCTAAAGAATACTGATAGCTACACAGAGACAGACCAATGAAATCAAGAAACAGTATAAGTCAGAAGGCAAACAAAAATGTGATCAAAACAGTCAAAATGATAAAATCATAATTCAAAATAAGCAATCAGACTAAAGTCACTTTAGCTCTGATCTCTGGCCTCTCTCCTTTGTTTTTTGTTGCAGACAGCTAGATTTACTTGCAGTTTGGGTTTTTTTGTTTTGTTTTGTTTTTGTTTTTAGTCAGCTGCCTGGGGGTTGCTTTTGTCTGATTCAATGTAGGGGTGGGGCTTTGTTTCACAACGTTACCTTAGGAACTCAGGTAGGGTTCGTTGATAAGTGGGCAGGGCAATGGACGTCTCTGCCTGGAGAATGGCCAAGGCAGTTTTTGCAGATCCGTTTCTCTGCACTTGTCTGGGTCCCCCAGCTTGGGGTCATGCGCTGAGTGCCTCAGCCAGGGTGGGCCCAGAGCTCCAGAGCTCCAAAGCTCCAAAGGGCAGGCGGTGAGCGGCGAGAGTGGCCCTGGGCCCCCCACAGGGTACTTCAGCCGGAATGGGACTGGTGTCTCTGAAGGGCGGGTGCCCAAAGCCTCCCTGAGTGACTGGTGGCTTGGTGCTGGGTGCCGGGTGGGAGACGATGTAGCCAGGGAGGGAGCTGGGACCCAAGACTCCCACGCACATGATGGAACAGCAGCAGCAGGGGCCACAATTTCCGCCCCTGAGTGGGACTGAAGGTCCCCAGACCTCAGACCAGCGCAGCTGGTGGTGGGCTGGGGGATGGGGGAAGAAAAGTAAGAGTCTTTTTGGGAACTCACGTTCAGAAAATCTCACAAGTCCACCTATGTCATGGCCATCTTGTTCCCCAACCCACATAATTTTAAAAACATTTTGATTACTTCTATAGAAGGAATCACTTGAAGAGGATGTACCAGGCCACTGTCTACAGTTACTATTACTATTGCTTATTTATTTATAGATATCTACAAAACTAGCAGTGCCTTCAGGACCTGTCATTGCCCAGACTGGAGTGCAGTGGCCGCTCCCGGCCACCGCAGCCTCGACCTGCTGGGCTCCGGAGATCTTTCCGCCTCAGCCTTCCAAGTAGC